GCCAACAGGCCAATTGGTCCAACTGGTCCATAGGATCAATAGGCCAGTTGGTCCAACCGGTCCATTGAACCAACAGGCAAGTTGGTCCAACAGGTCCATAGGACCAACATGCCAGTTGGTCCAACCGGTCCATAGGACCAACAGATCAGTTGGTCCAATCGGTCCATTAGGCCAACAGGCCAGTTGGTCCAACCAGTCCATAGGTCCAACAGGCCAGTTGGTCTAACCGGTCCATAGGACCAACACGTCATTTGGTCCAACCTGTCCATAGGACCAACAGGCCAGATGGTCCAACTGGTCCACAGGACCAACAGGCCAGTTGGTCCAACCAGTCCACAGGACCAACAGGTCAGCTGGTCCAACCGGTCCATAGGACCAACATTTCAGTTGGTCCAACCGGTCCATAGGACCAACAAGCTAGTTGGTCCAACTTTCCATAGGACCAACACGTTAGTTGGTCCAACCCGTCCATTCGGCCAACAGGCCAGTTGGTCCAACCGGTCCATAGGACCAACATGCCAGTTGGTCCAACCCGTCCATTTGGCCAACTGGCCAATTGGTCCAACCGGTCCATTTGGCCAACAGGCCAGTTGGTCCAACCGGTCCATAGGACCAATAGGCCAGTTGGTCCAACCGGTCCATAGGACCAACAGGCCAGTTGGTCCAACCGGTCCATTCGGCCAACAGGCCAGTTGGTCCAACCGCTCCATTCGGCAAACAGGCCAGGTGGTCCAACCGCTCCATAGGACCAACATGCCAGTTGGTCCAACCGATCCATTCGGCCAACAGGTCAGTTGGTCCAACCGGTCCATGGGACCAACATGCCAGTTCGTTCAATCGGTCCATAGGACCAACAGGCTAGTTGGTCCAACCGGTCCATAGGACCAACAGGCCAGTTGGTCCAACCTGTCCATTCGGCCAACAAGCCAGTTGGTCCATCCGGTCCATAGGACCAACAGGCCAGCTTGCCCACCGGTCCATAGGACCAACAGGCCAGTTGGTTTAAACGGTCCATAGGACCAACACGTCAGTTGGTCCAACTGGTCCATTGGAACAACATTCCAGTTGGTCCAACCGGTCCATAGGACGAACAGGCCAGTTGGTCCAACCGGTCCATAGGACCAACAGGCCAGTTGGTCCAACCGGTCCATTCGGCCAACAGGCCAGTTGGTCCAACCGGTCCATAGGACCAACAGGCCAGTTGGTCCAACCGGTCCATAGGACCAACAGACCAGTTGGTCCAACCGGTCCATAGGACCAACATGCCAGTTGGTCCAACTGGTCCATTCGGCCAACAGGTCAGTTGGTCCAACCGGTCCATAGGACCAACAGGCCAGTTGGTTCTATCGGTCCATAGGACCAACATGCAAGTTGGTCCAACCGGTCCATAGGACCAACAGGCCAGTTGCTCCAACCGGTCCATAGGACTAACAGGCCAGTTGGTCCAACCGGTCCATAGGACCAACATGCCAGTTGGTCCAAACGGTCCATTCGGCCAACAGGCCAGTTGGTCCAACCGGTCCATAGGACCAACATGCCAGTTGGTCCAACCGGTCCATATGACCAACAGGCCAGTTGGTCCAACCGGTCCATTTGGCCAACAGGCCAGTTGGTCCAACCGGTCCATAGGACCAACAGGCCAGTTGGTCCAACCGGTCCATAGGACCAACATGCTAGTTGGTCCAACCGGTCCATTCAGCCAACAGGCCAGTTGGTCCAACCGGTCCATAGGACCAACAGGCCAGTTGGTTCTATCGGTCCATAGGACCAACATGCAAGTTGGTCCAACCGGTCCATAGGACCAACAGGCCAGTTGCTCCAACCGGTCCATAGGACTAACAGGCCAGTTGGTCCAACCGGTCCATAGGACCAACATGCCAGTTGGTCCAAACGGTCCATTCGGCCAACAGGCCAGTTGGTCCAACCGGTCCATAGGACCAACATGCCAGTTGGTCCAACCGGTCCATATGACCAACAGGCCAGTTGGTCCAACCGGTCCATTTGGCCAACAGGCCAGTTGGTCCAACCGGTCCATAGGACCAACAGGCCAGTTGGTCCAACCGGTCCATAGGACCAACATGCTAGTTGGTCCAACCGGTCCATTCAGCCAACAGGCCAGTTGGTCCAACCGGTCCATAGGACCAACAGGCCAGTTGGTCCAATCGGTCCATAGGACCAACATGCTAGTTGGTCCAACCGGTCCATAGGACCAACACGCCAGTTGGTCCAACCGGTCCATAGGACCAACAGGCTAGTTGGTCCAATCGGTCCATAGGACCAACACGCCAGTTGGTCCAACCGGTCGATAGGACCAACAGGCCAGTTGGTCCAACCGGTCCATAAGACCAACAGGCCAGTTGGTCCAACCGGTCCATAGGACCAACAGGCCAGTTGGTCCAACCGGTCCATAAGACCAACAGGCCAGTTGGTCCAACCGGTCCATAGGACCAACATGCCAGTTGGTCCAAACGGTCCATTCGGCCAACAGGCCAGTTGGTCCAACCGGTCCATAGGACCAACATGCCAGTTGGTCCAACCGGTCCATTCGGCCAACAGGCCAGTTGGTCCAACCGGTCCATAGGACCAACATGCAAGTTGGTCCAACTGGTCCATTCGGCCAACAGGTCAGTTGGTTCTATCGATCCATAGGACCAACATGCAAGTTGGTCCAACCGGTCCATAGGACCAACAGGCCAGTTGGTTCTATCGGTCCATAGGACCAACATGCAAGTTGGTCCAACCGGTCCATAGGACCAACAGGCCAGTTGCTCCAACCGGTCCATAGGACCAACAGGCCAGTTGGTCCAACCGGTCCATAGGACCAACAGGCCAGTTGGTCCAACCGGTTCATAAGACCAACAGGCCAGTTGGTCCAATCGGTCCATAGGACCAACAGGCCAGTTGGTCCAACCGGTCCATAGGACCAACAGGCCAGTTGGTCCAACCGGTCCATAGGACCAACAGGCCAGTTGCTCCAACCGGTCCATAGGACTAACAGGCCAATTGGTCCAACCGGTCCATAGGACCAACATGCCAGTTGGTCCAACCGGTCCATAGGACCAACAGGCCAATTGGTCCAACCGGTCCATAGGACCAACTAGCAAGTTGGTCCAACCGGTCCATTCGGCCAACAGACCACTTGGTCCAACCGGTCCATAGGACCAACAGGCCAGTTGGTCCAACCGGTCCATAGGACCAACACGCCAGTTGGTCCAACGAGTCCATAGGACCAACACGCCAGTTGGTCCAACCGGTCCATAGGACCAACAGGCAAGTTGGTCCAACCGGTCCATAGCACCAACAGGCCAGTTGGTCCAACTTGTCCATTCGGCCAACAGGTCAGTTGGTCCAACCGGTCCATAGGACCAACATGCCAGTTGGTCCAACCGGTCCATAGGACCAACACGCCAGTTGGTCCAACGGGTCCATAGGACCAACACGCCAGTTGGTCCAACCGGTTCATTGGAACAACACGCCAGTTGGTCCAACCGGTCCATAGGACCAACAGGCCAATTGGTCCAACCGGTCCATAGGACCAACAGGCCAGTTGGTCCAACCGGTCCATAGGACCAACCGGCAAGTTGGTCCAACCGGTCCATTCGGCCAACAGGCCACTTGGTCCAACCCGTCCATAGGACCAACAAGCCAGTTGGTCCAACCGGTCCATTGGACCAACATGCCAGTTGGTCCAACCGGTCCATAGGACCAACAGGCCACTTGGTCCAACCGGTCCATAGGACCAACAGGCCAGTTGGTCCAACCGGTCCATAGGACCAACAGGCCAGTTGGTCCAACCGGTCCATAGGACCAACAGGCCAGTTGGTCCAACCGGTCCATAGGACCAACTGGCCAGTTGGTCCAACCGGTCCATAGGACCAACATGCCAGTTGGTCCAACCGGTCCATAGGACCAACAGGCAAGTTGGTCCAACCGGTCCATAGGACCAACACGTCAGTTGGTCCAACCGGTCCATAGGACCAATAGGCCAGTTGGTCCAACCGGTCCATAGGACCAACAGGCCAGTTGGTCCAACCGGTCCATAGGACCAACAGGCCAGTTGGTCCAACCGGTCTATAGGACCAACACGTCAGTTGGTCCAACAGGTCCATTGGAACAACATGCCAGTTGCTCCAACCGGTCCATAGGACCAACAGGCCAGTTGGTCCAAACGGTCCATAGGACCAACACTCCAGTTGGTCCAACCGGTCCGTAGGACCAACAGGCAAGTTGGTCCAACTGGTCCATAGGACCAACAGGCAAGTTGGTCCAACTGGTCCATAACACAAACAGGCCAGTTCGTCCAACCATTCCATTCGGCCAACAGGCCAGTTGGTCCAACCGGTCCATAGGACCAACATGCCAGTTGGTCCAACCGGTCCATAGGACCAACAGGTCAGGTGGTCCAACCGGTCCATTCAGCCAACAGGCCAGTTGATCCAATTGGTCCATAGGACCAACAGGCCAGTTGGTCCAACCGGTCAATAGGACCAACAGGCCAGTTGGTCCAACCGGTCCATTCGGCCAACAGGCAAGTTGGTCCAAACGGTCCATAGGACCAACACGTGAGTTGGTCCAACCGTTCCATAGGACCAACAGGCCGGTTGGTCCAACCGGTCCATTCGGCCAATAGGTCAGTTGGTCCAACCGGTCCGTAGGACCATCGGGCCAGTTGGTCCAACCGGTTCATAGCACCAACAGGCCAGTTGGTCCAACTGGTCCATCGGAAGAACAGGCCAGTTGGTCCAGCCGGTCCAAAGGACCAACACCTAAGTTTGTCCAACCGGTCCGTAGGACCAACAGGCCAGTTGGTCCAGCCGGTCCATAGGACCAACATGCCAGTTGGTCCAACCGGTCCATAGGACCAACAGGCCAGTTGGTCCAATCGGTCCATAGGACCAACACGTCTGTTGGTCCATTCGGTCTATAGGACCAACATGCCAGTTGGTCCAACCGGTCCATTCGGCCAACAGGCTAGTTGGTCCAACCGGTCCATAGGACCAACACGTCGGTTGGTTCAACCGGTCCATAGGACCAACATTCAAGTTGGTCCAATTGGTTTATACGACCAACATGCGAGTTGGTACAACCGGTCCATAGGACCAACATGCCAGTTGGTCCAACCGGTCCATAGGACCAACAGGCAAGTTGGTCCAACTGGTCCATTGGAGCAACAGGCCAGTTGGTCCAACCGGTCCATAGGACCAATAGGCCAGTTGATCCAACCGGTCCATAGGACCAACAGGCCGGTTGATCGAACCGGTCCATAGGACAAACTGGCCAGTTGGTCCAACCGGTCCATAGGACCAACACCAGTTGGTCCAACCGGTCCATAGGACCAACAGGCCAGTTGGTCCAACCGGTTCATAGGACAATCAGGCCAGTTGGTTCAATTGGTCCATAGGACGAACAGGCCAAATGGTCAACCGGTCCATTCGGCCAACAGGCCAGTTGGTCCAACCGGTCCATTGGAACAACAGGCCAGTTGGTCCAACCGGTCCATAGGACCAACACGCTAGTTGGTCCAACCGGTCCATTGGAACAACAGGCCAGTTGGTCCAACCGGTCCATAGGACCAACAGGCCAGTTGATCCAACCGGTCCATAGGACCAACAGGCCAGTTGGTCCAACCGGTCCATAGGACCAACACGCCAGTTGGTCCAACCGGTCCATAGGACCAACAGGCCAGTTGGTCCAACCGGTCCATAGGACCAACACACCAGTTGGTCCAACCGGTCCATAGGACCAACACGCCAGTTGGTCCAACCGGTCCATAGGACCAACACGCCAGTTGGTCCAACCGGTCCATAGGACCAACAGGCCAGTTGGTCCAACCGGTCCATAGGACCAACAGGCCAGTTGGTCCAACCGGTCCATAGGACCAACAGGCCAGTTGGTCCAACCGGTCCATAGGACCAACAGGCCAGTTGGTCCAACCGGTCTATAGGACCAACAGGCCAGTTGGTCCAACCGGTCCATTGGAACAACAGGCCAGTTGGTCCAACCGGTCCATTGGAACAACAGGCCAGTTGGTCCAACCGGTCCATAGGACCAACACGCTAGTTGGTCCAACCGGTCCATTGGAACAACAGGCAAGTTGGTCCAACCGGTCCATAGGACCAACAGGCAAGTTGGTCCAACCGGTCCATAGGACCAACAGGCCAGTTGGTCCAACCGGTCCATAGGACCAACAGGCCTGTTTGTCCAACCTGTCCATAGGACCAACAGGCCAGTTGGTCCAACCGGTCCATAGGACCAACAGGGCAGTTGGTCCAACCGGTCCATAGGACCAACAGGGCAGTTGGTCCAACCGGTCCATAGGACCAACAGGCCAGTTGGTCCAACCGGTCTATAGGACCAACAGGGCAGTTGGTCCAACCGGTCCATAGGACCAACAGGCCAGTTGGTCCAACCGGTCCATAGGACCAACAGGGCAGTTGGTCCAACCGGTCCATAGGACCATTAGGCCAGTTGGTCCAACCGGTCCATAGGACCAACAGGCCAGTTGGTCCAACCGGTCCATAGGACCAACAGGCCAGTTGGTCCAACCGGTCCATAGGACCAACAGGGCAGTTGGTCCAACCGGTCCATAGGACCAACAGGCCAGTTGGTCCAACCGGTCCATAGGACCAACAAGGCAGTTGGTCCAACCGGTCCATAGGACCAACAGGGCAGTTGGTCCAACCGGTCCATAGGACCAACAGGCCAGTTGGTCCAACCGGTCCATAGGACCAACAGGCCAGTTGGTCCAACCGGTCCATAGGACCAACAGGCCAGTTGGTCCAACCGGTCCTTAGGACCAACAGGCCAGTTGGTCCAACCGGTCCATAGGACCAACAGGCCAGTTGGTCCAACCGGTCATAGGACCAACAGGCCAGTTGGTCCAACCGGTCCATAGGACCAACACGCCAGTTGGTCCAACCGGTCCATAGGACCAACACGCCAGTTGGTCCAACTAGTCCATAGGACCAACACGCCAGTTGGTCCAACCGGTCCATAGGACCAACACGCCAGTTGGTCCAACCGGTCCATAGGACCAACAGGGCAGTTGGTCCAACCGGTCCATAGGACCAACAGGCCAATTGGACCAACCGGTCCATAGGACCAACAGGCCAGTTGGACCAACCGGTCCATAGGACCAACAGGCCAGTTGGTCCAACCGGTCCTAGGACCAACAGGCCAGTTGGTCCAACCGGTCCATAGGACCAACACGCCAGTTGGTCCAACCGGTCCATAGGACCAACACGCCAGTTGGTCCAACTGGTCCATAGGACCAACACGCCAGTTGGTCCAACTAGTCCTTAGGGCCAACAGGCCAGTTGGTCCAACCGGTCCATAGGACCAACAGGCAAGTTGGTCCAACCGGTCCATAGGGCCAACAGGCCAGTTGGTCCAACCGGTCCATAGGACCAACAGGCCAGTTGGTCCAACCGGTCCATAGGACCAACAGGCCAGTTGGTCCAACCGGTCCATAGGACCAACAGGCCAGTTGGTCCAACCGGTCCATAGGACCAACAGGCCAGTTGGTCCAACCGGTCCATAGGACCAACAGGCCAGTTGGTCCAACCGGTCCATAGGACCAACACGCCAGTTGGTCCAACCGGTCCATTGGAACAACAGGCCAGTTGGTCCAACCGGTCCATAGGACCAACAGGCCAGTTGGTCCAACCGGTCCATAGGACCAACAGGCCAGTTGGTCCAACCGGTCCAGAGGACCAACACGCCAGTTGGTCCAACCGGTCCATAGGACCAACACGCCAGTTGGTCCAACTAGTCCATAGGACCAACACGCCTGTTGGTCCAACTAGTCCATAGGACCAACACGCCAGTTAGTCCAACCGGTCCATAGGACCAACAGGGCAGTTGGTCCAACCGGTCCATAGGACCAACAGGCCAATTGGTCCAACCGGTCCATAGGACCAACAGGCCAGTTGGACCAACCGGTCCATAGGACCAACAGGCCAGTTGGTCCAACCGGTCCATAGGACCAACAGGCCAGTTGGTCCAACCAGTCCATAAAACCAACAAGCCAGTTGGTCCAACCGGTCCATAGGACCAACACGCCAGTTGGTCCAACTAGTCCATAGGACCAACACGCCAGTTGGTCCAACTAGTCCATAGGACCAACACGCCAGTTGGTCCAACTAGTCCTTAGGGCCAACAGGCCAGTTGGTCCAACCGGTCCATAGGACCAACAGGCAAGTTGGTCCAACCGGTCCATAGGACCAACAGGCCAGTTGGTCCAACCGGTCCATAGGACCAACAGGCCAGTTGGTCCAACCGGTCCATAGCACCATCAGGCCAGTTGGTCCAACCGGTCCATAGGACCAACAGGCAAGTTGGTCCAACTAGTCCTTAGGACCAACAGGCAAGTAGGTCCAACTAGTCCATAGGACCAACACGCCAGTTGGTCCAACCGGTCCATAGGACCAACAGGGCAGTTGGTCCAACCGGTCCATAGGACCAACACGCCATTTGGTCCAACTCGTCCTTAGGGCCAACAGGCCAATTGGTCCAACCGGTCCATAGGACCAACAGGCAAGTTGGTCCAACCGGTCCATAGGACCAACAGGCCAGTTGGTCCAACCGGTCCATAGGACCAACAGGCCAGTTGGTCCAACCGGTCCATAGGACCAACAGGCAAGTTGGTCCAACGGGTCCATTCGGCCAACAGGCAAGTTGGTCCAACTAGTCCATAGGACCAACACGCCAGTTGGTCCAACCGGTCCATAGGACCAACACGCCAGTTGGTCCAACCGGTCCATAGGACCAACAGGCCAGTTGGTCCAACCGGTCCATAGGACCAACAGGGCAGTTGGTCCAACCGGTCCATAGGACCAACAGGCCAGTTGGTCCAACCGGTCCATAGGACCAACAGGCCAGTTGGTCCAACCGGTCCATAGGACCAACAGGCCAGTTGGTCCAACCGGTCCATAGGACCAACAGGCCAGTTGGTCCAACCGGTCCATAGGACCAACAGGCCAGTTGGTCCAACCGGTCCATAGGACCAACAGGCCAGTTGGTCCAACCGGTCCATAGGACCAACACGCCAGTTGGTCCAACCGGTCCATAGGACCAACACGCCAGTTGGTCCAACCGGTCCATAGGACCAACACGCCAGTTGGTCCAACCGGTCCATAGGACCAACACGCCAGTTGGTCCAACCGGTCCATAGGACCAACACGCCAGTTGGTCCAACCGGTCCATAGGACCAACACGCCAGTTGGTCCAACCGGTCCATAGGACCAACACGCCAGTTGGTCCAACCGGTCCTTAGGGCCAACAGGCCAGTTGGTCCAACCGGTCCATAGGACCAACAGGCCAGTTGGTCCAACCGGTCCATAGGACCAACACGCCAGTTGGTCCAACCGGTCCATAGGACCAACAGGCCAGTTGGTCCAACCGGTCCATAGGACCAACAGGCCAGTTGGTCCAACCGGTCCATAGGACCAACAGGCCAGTTGGTCCAACCGGTCCATAGGACCAACAGACTAGTTGGTCCAACCGGTCCATAGGACCAACACGCCAGTTGGTCCAACCGGTCCATAGGACCAACACGCCAGTTGGTCCAACGAGTCCATAGGACCAACACGCCAGTTGGTCCAACCGGTCCATAGGACCAACAGGCAAGTTGGTCCAACCGGTCCATAGGACCAACAGGCCAGTTGGTCCAACCGGTCCATAGGACCAACACGCCAGTTGGTCCAACCGGTCCATAGGACCAACACGCCAGTTGGTCCAACCGGTCCATAGGACGAACAGGCCAGTTGGTCCAACCGGTCCATAGGACGAACAGGCCAGTTGGTCCAACCGGTCCATAGGACCAACACGCCAGTTGGTCCAACCGGTCCTTAGGGCCAACAGGCCAGTTGGTCCAACCGGTCCATAGGACCAACAGGCCAGTTGGTCCAACCGGTCCATAGGACCAACAGGCCAGTTGGTCCAACCAGTCCATAGGACCAACAGGCCAGTTGGTCCAACCGGTCCATAGGACCAACAGGCCAGTTGGTCCAACCGGTCCATAGGACCAACAGGCCAGTTGGTCCAACCGGTCCATAGGACCAACAGGCCAGTTGGTCCAACCGGTCCATAGGACCAACACGCCAGTTGGTCCAACCGGTCCATAGGACCAACACGCCAGTTGGTCCAACTAGTCCATAGGACCAACACGCCAGTTGGTCCAACTAGTCCTTAGGGCCAACAGGCCAGTTCGTCCAACCGGTCCATAGGACCAACAGGCAAGTTGGTCCAACCGGTCCATAGGACCAACAGGCCAGTTGGTCCAACCGGTCCATAGGACCAACAGGCCAGTTGGTCCAACCAGTCCATAGGACCAACAGGCCAGTTGGTCCAACCGGTCCATAGGACCAACACGCCAGTTGGTCCAACCGGTCCATAGGACCAACACGCCAGTTGGTCCAACTAGTCCTTAGGGCCAACACGCCAGTTGGTCCAACCGGTCCATAGGACCAACAGGCCAGTTGGTCCAACCGGTCCATAGGACCAACAGGCCAGTTGGTCCAACCGGTCCATAGGACCAACAGGCCAGTTGGTCCAACCGGTCCATAGGACCAACAGGCGAGTTGGTCCAACCGGTCCATAGGACCAACAGGCGAGTTGGTCCAACCGGTCCATAGGACCAACACGCCAGTTGGTCCAACCGGTCCATAGGACCAACACGCCAGTTGGTCCAACGAGTCTATAGGACCAACACGCCAGTTGGTCCAACCGGTCCATAGGACCAACAGGCAAGTTGGTCCAACCGGTCCATAGGACCAACAGGCCAGTTGGTCCAACTGGTCCATAGGACCAACAGGCCAGTTGGTCCAACCGGTCCATAGGACCAACAGGCCAGTTGGTCCAACCGGTCCATAGGACCAACAGGCAAGTTGGTCCAACGGGTCCATTCGGCCAACAGGCCAGTTGGTCCAACTAGTCCATAGGACCAACACGCCAGTTGGTTCAACCGGTCCATAGGACCAACAGGGCAGTTGGTCCAACCGGTCCATAGGACCAACAGGCCAGTTGGTCCAACCGGTCCATAGGACCAACACGCCAGTTGGTCCAACTAGTCCATAGGACCAACACGCCAGTTGGTCCAACCGGTCCATAGGACCAACAGGCAAGTTCGTCCCACCGGTCCATAGGACCAACAGGCCAGTTGGTCCAACCGGTCCATAGGACCAACAGGCCAGTTGGTCCAACCAGTCCATTGGACCAATAGGCCAGTTGGTCCAACCGGTCCATAGGACGAACAGGCCAGTTGGTCCAACCGGTCCATAGGACGAACAGGCCAGTTGGTCCAACCGGTCCATAGGACGAACAGGCCAGTTCGTCCAACCGGTCCATAGGACCAACACGCCAGTTGGTCCAACGAGTCCATAGGACCAACACGCCAGTTGGTCCAACTAGTCCTTAGGGCCAACAGGCCAGTTGGTCCAACCGGTCCATAGGACCAACAGGCAAGTTGGTCCAACCGGTCCATAGGACCAACAGGCCAGTTGGTCCAACCGGTCCATAGGACCAACAGGCCAGTTGGTCCAACCGGTCCATAGGACCAACACGCCAGTTGGTCCAACTAGTCCTTAGGGCCAACAGGCCAGTTGGTCCAACCGGTCCATAGGACCAACAGGCAAGTTGGTCCAACCGGTCCATAGGACCAACAGGCCAGTTGGTCCAACCGGTCCATAGGACCAACAGGCCAGTTGGTCCAACCGGTCCATAGGACCAACACGCCAGTTGGTCCAACCGGTCCATAGGACCAACACGCCAGTTGGTCCAACCGGTCCATAGGACCAACACGCCAGTTGGTCCAACTAGTCCTTAGGGCCAACAGGCCAGTTGGTCCAACCGGTCCATAGGACCAACAGGCAAGTTGGTCCAACCGGTCCATAGGACCAACAGGCCAGTTGGTCCAACCGGTCCATAGGACCAACAGGCCAGTTGGTCCAACCGGTCCATAGGACCAACAGGCCAGTTGGTCCAACCGGTCCATAGGACCAACAGGCCAGTTGGTCCAACCGGTCCATAGGACCAACACGCCAGTTGGTCCAACCGGTCCATAGGACCAACACGCCAGTTGGTCCAACGAGTCCATAGGACCAACACGCCAGTTGGTCCAACTAGTCCTTAGGGACAACAGGCCAGTTGGTCCAACCGGTCCATAGGACCAACAGGCAAGTTGGTCCAACCGGTCCATAGGACCAACGGGCCAGTTGGTCCAACTGGTCCATAGGACCAACAGGCCAGTTGGTCCAACCGGTCCATAGGACCAACAGGCCAGTTGGTCCAACCGGTCCATAGGACCAACACGCCAGTTGGTCCAACCGGTCCATAGGACCAACACGCCAGTTGGTCCAACTGGTCCATAGGACCAACACGCCAGTTGGTCCAACTAGTCCTTAGGGCCAACAGGCAAGTTGGTCCAACCGGTCCATAGGACCAACAGGCCAGTTGGTCCAACCGGTCCATAGGACCAACACGCCAGTTGGTCCAACCGGTCCATAGGACCAACACGCCAGTTGGTCCAACCGGTCCATAGGACCAACACGCCAGTTGGTCCAACCGGTCCATAGGACCAACACGCCAGTTGGTCCAACTAGTCCTTAGGGCCAACACGCCAGTTGGTCCAACCGGTCCATAGGACCAACAGGCAAGTTGGTCCAACCGGTCCATAGGACCAACAGGCCAGTTGGTCCAACCGGTCCATAGGACCAACAGGCCAGTTGGTCCAACCGGTCCATAGGACCAACACGCCAGTTGGTCCAACCGGTCCATAGGACCAACACGCCAGTTGGTCCAACCGGTCCATAGGACCAACACGCCAGTTGGTCCAACTGGTCCATAGGACCAACACGCCAGTTGGTCCAACTGGTCCTTAGGGCCAACAGGCCAGTTGGTCCAACCGGTCCATAGGACCAACAGGCAAGTTGGTCCAACCGGTCCATAGGACCAACAGGCCAGTTGGTCCAACCGGTCCATAGGACCAACAGGCCAGTTGGTCCAACCGGTCCATAGGACCAACAGGCCAGTTGGTCCAACCGGTCCATAGGACCAACACGCCAGTTGGTCCAACCGGTCCATAGGACCAACAGGCCAGTTGGTCCAACCGGTCCATAGGACCAACACGCCAGTTGGTCCAACTGGTCCTTAGGGCCAACAGGCCAGTTGGTCCAACCGGTCCATAGGACCAACAGGCAAGTTGGTCCAACCGGTCCATAGGACCAACAGGCCAGTTGGTCCAACCGGTCCATAGGACCAACAGGCCAGTTGGTCCAACCGGTCCATAGGACCAACAGGCCAGTTGGTCCAACCGGTCCATAGGACCAACAGGCCAGTTGGTCCAACCGGTCCATAGGACCAACACGCCAGTTGGTCCAACCGGTCCAGAGGACCAACAGGCCAGTTGGTCCAACTAGTCCATAGGGCCAACAGGCCAGTTGGTCCAACTAGTCCATAGGACCAACACGCCAGTTGGTCCAACGAGTCCATAGGGCCAACACGCCAGTTGGTCCAACCGGTCCATAGGACCAACAGGCAAGTTGGTCCAACCGGTCCATAGGACCAACAGGCCAGTTGGTCCAACCGGTCCATAGGACCAACAGGCCAGTTGGTCCAACCGGTCCATAGGACCAACAGGCCAGTTGGTCCAACCGGTCCATAGGACCAACACGCCAGTTGGTCGAACCGGTCCAGAGGACCAACACGCCAGGCCAGTTGGTCCAACTAGTCCTTAGGGCCAACAGGCAAGTTGGTCCAACCGGTCCATAGGACCAACAGACCAGTTGGTCCAACCGGTCCATAGGACCAACAGGCCAGTTGGTCCAACCGGTCCATAGGACCAACACGCCAGTTGGTCCAACTAGTCCTTAGGGCCAACAGGCCAGTTGGTCCAACCGGTCCATAGGACCAACAGGCAAGTTGGTCCAACCGGTCCATAGGACCAATAGGCCAGTTGGTCCAACCAGTCCATAGGACCAACAGGCCAGTTGGTCCAACCGGTCCATAGGACCAACACGCCAGTTGGTCCAACCGGTCCATAGGACCAACACGCCAGTTGGTCCAACCGGTCCATAGGACCAACACGCCAGTTGGTCCAACTAGTCCTTAGGGCCAACAGGCCAGTTGGTCCAACCGGTCCATAGGACCAACAGGCAAGTTGGTCCAACCGGTCCATAGGACCAACAGGCCAGTTGGTCCAACCGGTCCATAGGACCAACAGGCCAGTTGGTCCAACCGGTCCATAGGACCAACAGGCCAGTTGGTCCAACCGGTCCATAGGACCAACAGGCCAGTTGGTCCAACCGGTCCATAGGACCAACACGCCAGTTGGTCCAACCGGTCCATAGGACCAACACGCCAGTTGGTCCAACGAGTCCATAGGACCAACACGCCAGTTGGTCCAACTAGTCCTTAGGGACAACAGGCCAGTTGGTCCAACCGGTCCATAGGACCAACAGGCAAGTTGGTCCAACCGGTCCATAGGACCAACGGGCCAGTTGGTCCAACTGGTCCATAGGACCAACAGGCCAGTTGGTCCAACCGGTCCATAGGACCAACAGGCCAGTTGGTCCAACCGGTCCATAGGACCAACACGCCAGTTGGTCCAACCGGTCCATAGGACCAACACGCCAGTTGGTCCAACTGGTCCATAGGACCAACACGCCAGTTGGTCCAACTAGTCCTTAGGGCCAACAGGCCAGTTGGTCCAACCGGTCCATAGGACCAACAGGCAAGTTGGTCCAACCGGTCCATAGGACCAACAGGCCAGTTGGTCCAACCGGTCCATAGGACCAACAGGCCAGTTGGTCCAACCGGTCCATAGGACCAACAGGCCAGTTGGTCCAACCGGTCCATAGGACCAACACGCCAGTTGGTCCAACCGGTCCATAGGACCAACAGGCCAGTTGGTCCAACCGGTCCATAGGACCAACACGCCAGTTGGTCCAACTAGTCCTTAGGGCCAACAGGCCAGTTGGTCCAACCGGTCCATAGGACCAACAGGCAAGTTGGTCCAACCGGTCCATAGGACCAACAGGCCAGTTGGTCCAACCGGTCCATAGGACCAACAGGCCAGTTGGTCCAACCGGTCCATAGGACCAACAGGCCAGTTGGTCCAACCGGTCCATAGGACCAACAGGCCAGTTGGTCCAACCGGTCCATAGGACCAACACGCCAGTTGGTCCAACCGGTCCAGAGGACCAACAGGCCAGTTGGTCCAACTAGTCCATAGGGCCAACACGCCAGTTGGTCCAACCGGTCCATAGGACCAACAGGCAAGTTGGTCCAACCGGTCCATAGGACCAACAGGCCAGTTGGTCCAACCGGTCCATAGGACCAACAGGCCAGTTGGTCCAACCGGTCCATAGGACCAACACGCCAGTTGGTCCAACCGGTCCATAGGACCAACACGCCAGTTGGTCCAACCGGTCCATAGGACCAACACGCTAGTTGGTCCAACCGGTCCAGAGGACCAACACGCCAGTTGGTCCAACTAGTCCATAGGACCAACATGCCAGTTGGTCCAACGAGTCCTTAGGGCCAACAGGCCAGTTGGTCCAACCGGTCCATAGGACCAACAGGCAAGTTGGTCCAACCGGTCCATAGGACCAACAGGCCAGTTGGTCCAACCGGTCCATAGGACCAACAGGCCAGTTGGTCCAACCGATCTATAGGACCAACAGGCCAGTTGGTCCAACCGGTCCATAGGACCAACAGGCCAGTTGGTCCAACCGGTCCATAGGACCAACAGGCTAGTTGGTCCAACCGGTCCATTCGGCCAACAGGCCAGTTGGTCCAACCGGTCCATTCGGCCAACAGACCAGTTGGTCCAACCGGTCTATAGGACCAACAGGCCAGTTGGTCCAACCGGTCCATAGGACCAACAGGCCAGTTGGTCCAACCGGTCCATAGGACAAACAGGCTAGTTGGTCCAACTGGTCCATTCGGCCAACAGGCCAGTTGGTCCAACCGGTCCATAGGACCAACAGGCAAGTTGGTCCAACCGGTCCATAGGACCAACACGCCAGTTGGTCCAATCGGTCCATAGGACCAACACGTTAGTTGGTCCAACCGGTCCATAGGACCAACACGCCAGTTGGTCCAACTAGTCCTTAGGGTCAACAGGCCAGTTGGTCCAACCGGTCCATAGGACCAACAGGCAAGTTGGTCCAACCGGTCCATAGGACCAACAGGCCAGTTGGTCCAACCGGTCCATAGGACCAACAGGCCAGTTGGTCCAACCGATCCATAGGACCAACACGCCAGTTGGTCCAACGAGTCCTTAGGGCCAACAGGCCAGTTGGTCCAACCGGTCCATAGGACCAACAGGCAAGTTGGTCCAACCGGTCCATAGGACCAACAGGCCAGTTGGTCCAACCGGTCCATAGGACCAACAGGCCAGTTGGTCCAACCAGTCCATAGGACCAACAGGCCAGTTGGTCCAACCGGTCCATAGGACCAACACGCCAGTTGGTCCAACCGGTCCATAGGACCAACAGGCCAGTTGGTCCAACCGGTCCATAGGACCAACACGCCAGTTGGTCCAACTACTCCTTAGGGCCAACAGGCCAGTTGGTCCAACCGGTCCATAGGACCAACAGGCAAGTTGGTCCAACCGGTCCATAGGACCAACAGGCCAGTTGGTCCAACCGGTCCATAGGACCAACAGGCCAGTTGGTCCAACCGGTCCATAGGACCAACAGGCCAGTTGGTCCAACCGGTCCATAGGACCAACACGCCAGTTGGTCCAACCGGTCCATAGGACCAACACGCCAGTTGGTCCAACCGGTCCATAGGACCAACACGCCAGTTGGTCCAACCGGTCCATAGGACCAACACGCCAGTTGGTCCAACCGGTCCATAGGACCAACAGGCAAGTTGGTCCAACCGGTCCATAGGACCAACAGGCCAGTTGGTCCAACCGGTCCATAGGACCAACAGGCCAGTTGGTCCAACCGGTCCATAGGACCAACAGGCCAGTTGGTCCAACCGGTCCATAGGACCAACAGGCAAGTTGGTCCAACCGGTCCATAGGACCAACAGGCCAGTTGGTCCAACCGGTCCATAGGACCAACAGGCCAGTTGGTCCAACCGGTCCATAGGACCAACAGGCCAGTTGGTCCAACCGGTCCATAGGACCAACAGGCCAGTTGGTCCAACCGGTCCATAGGACCAACACGCCAGTTGGTCCAACCAGTCCATAGGACCAACACGCCAGTTGGTCCAACGAGTCCATAGGACCAACACGCCAGTTGGTCCAACTAGTCCTTAGGGACAACAGGCCAGTTGGTCCAACCGGTCCATAGGACCAACAGGCCAGTTGGTCCAACCGGTCCATAGGACCAACACGCTAGTTGGTCCAACCGGTCCAGAGGACCAACACGCCAGTTGGTCCAACTAGTCCATAGGACCAACATGCCAGTTGGTCCAACGAGTCCTTAGGGCCAACAGGCCAGTTGGTCCAACCGGTCCATAGGACCAACAGGCAAGTTGGTCCAACCGGTCCATAGGACCAACAGGCCAGTTGGTCCAACCGGTCCATAGGACCAACAGGCCAGTTGGTCCAACCGATCTATAGGACCAACAGGCCAGTTGGTCCAACCGGTCCATAGGACCAACAGGCCAGTTGGTCCAACCGGTCCATAGGACCAACAGGCTAGTTGGTCCAACCGGTCCATTCGGCCAACAGGCCAGTTGGTCCAACCGGTCCATTCGGCCAACAGACCAGTTGGTCCAACCGGTCTATAGCACCAACAGGCCAGTTGGTCCAACCGGTCCATAGGACCAACAGGCCAGTTGGTCCAACCGGTCCATAGGACAAACAGGCTAGTTGGTCCAACTGGTCCATTCGGCCAACATGCCAGTTGGTCCAACCGGTCCATAGGATCAACAGGCAAGTTGGTCCAACCGGTCCATAGGACCAACACGCCAGTTGGTCCAATCGGTCCATAGGACCAACACGTTAGTTGGTCCAACCGGTCCATAGGACCAACACGCCAGTTGGTCCAACTAGTCCTTAGGGTCAACAGGCCAGTTGGTCCAACCGGTCCATAGGACCAACAGGCAAGTTGGTCCAACCGGTCCATAGGACCAACAGGCCAGTTGGTCCAACCGGTCCATAGGACCAACAGGCCAGTTGGTCCAACCGATCCATAGGACCAACACGCCAGTTGGTCCAACGAGTCCTTAGGGCCAACAGGCCAGTTGGTCCAACCGGTCCATAGGACCAACAGGCAAGTTGGTCCAACCGGTCCATAGGACCAACAGGCTAGTTGGTCCAACCGGTCCATAGGACCAACAGGCCAGTTGGTCCAACCAGTCCATAGGACCAACAGGCCAGTTGGTCCAACCGGTCCATAGGACCAACACGCCAGTTGGTCCAACCGGTCCATAGGACCAACACGCCAGTTGGTCCAACTAGTCCATAGGACCAACACGCCAGTTGGTCCAACTACTCCTTAGGGCCAACAGGCCAGTTGGTCCAACCGGTCCATAGGACCAACAGGCAAGTTGGTCCAACCGGTCCATAGGACCAACAGGCCAGTTGGTCCAACCGGTCCATAGGACCAACAGGCCAGTTGGTCCAACCGGTCCATAGGACCAACAGGCCAGTTGGTCCAACCGGTCCATAGGACCAACAGGCCAGTTGGTCCAACCGGTCCATAGGACCAACACGCCAGTTGGTCCAACCAGTCCATAGGACCAACACGCCAGTTGGTCCAACGAGTCCATAGGACCAACACGCCAGTTGGTCCAACTAGTCCTTAGGGACAACAGGCCAGTTGGTCCAACCGGTCCATAGGACCAACAGGCAAGTTGGTCCAACCGGTCCATAGGGCCAACGGGCCAGTTGGTCCAACCGGTCCATAGGACCAACGGGCCAGTTGGTCCAACTGGTCCATAGGACCAACAGGCCAGTTGGTCCAACCGGTCCATAGGACCAACAGGCCAGTTGGTCCAACCGGTCCATAGGACCAACACGCCAGTTGGTCCAACCGGTCCATAGGACCAACACGCCAGTTGGTCCAACTAGTCCATAGGACCAACACGCCAGTTGGTCCAACTAGTCCTTAGGGCCAACAGGCCAGTTGGTCCAACCGGTCCATAGGACCAACAGGCAAGTTGGTCCAACCGGTCCATAGGACCAACAGGCCAGTTGGTCCAACCGGTCCATAGGACCAACAGGCCAGTTGGTCCAACTAGTCCATAGGACCAACAGGCCAGTTGGTCCAACCGGTCCATAGGACCAACACGCCAGTTGGTCCAACCGGTCCATAGGACCAACACGCCAGTTGGTCCAACCGGTCCATAGGACCAACACGCCAGTTGGTCCAACTAGTCCTTAGGGCCAACAGGCCAGTTGGTCCAACCGGTCCATAGGACCAACAGGCAAGTTGGTCCAACCGGTCCATAGGACCAACAGGCCAGTTGGTCCAACCGGTCCATAGGACCAACAGGCCAGTTGGTCCAACCGGTCCATAGGACCAACAGGCCAGTTGGTCCAACCGGTCCATAGGACCAACAGGCCAGTTGGTCCAACCGGTCCATAGGACCAACACGCCAGTTGGTCCAACCGGTCCATAG